GCAGTTGTATATTCGTAAGTTCCAGGAACTATTTTCTGACCTTCTAATGGCATTGTCGCATTCGTTATACCATTCGGAAACATTTCCGTTCATGGCATCCAAAACTGTTTGGCGTTATATTCTGAGCGGCGTACATTTCATATGGGTAAAAATATAGAATAGTTGGATTTATATGTCATAATAGAACCCACTCGGACCAAGCTTTACTTTCTTCCTGACTGAGTTTTTAACTCTTCTTTTTCCTTCATTGCCACTACTTTCACTAGATGAAGTTACTTCTTCACTACTTTCACTTTGTTCTACTCTTCTCTTCTTCTTTGGTGTCGCTTTTGGTAACTTGCCCTCTGCTTCAAGTTGTTGCATCTTTGCCTCATGTTCACCTAGTATGTTGTAAATTTCCCATGTCCTTTTTGCCTTTGGGCTCTGGTCGCCCATCTCAGGTAACCTATATCCTAGAAAGATTTTGTCATAGTTTGTATTTGAGTCTTCGCGTATTGTTTGCATGACTCTTTCCTGAGTTTCCGGTTCAAGCTCTTCAAACAGAGCTTGTCCATATGGAATAAGCTCGTTTCCAAATATATGTTTTTGTAGCCATTCTGGTTTTCTTTCCATGTAACCAATAATATCTTTTGTGAATGGGAAAGCTTTTACCCAATGTTTCAGTCTTGCGTCATTTATTTCTGTAGTTGGTTTTATTTTGTCAAGGAACGTGTTTTTCAATACTAACATTTCATTTGGTACTGTCCATTTGAGTTTTCTTAAATATTCATCCCTTCTCAGTTCATTGTCTGCAAAGTAAGTTTTTATGACATTTTGTAAACTTTCGTTTGCAAGGTCATGTACAATAGGTTCTCTTCCTTCTCTCTCCCTAACTTTCTTTCTAAACTCTTCACCAAATATACCATCTCTATGGTTCTGTGTAGTTCTTTGAGATAAATGTTCTAGAACGTCAGGTGTTATATTTCCATCAGCCATGTTCATTTCATACTGGTCCAAAATATCTGCATGTTTCATATCTTTCAATGGCATTAAAGCCGCGCTGAAAATACCAGCTATATCTGGTTCACCATTCACTTCCATTGCGTCTACAACTTCTTGGAATTGTGGTTGTAAGTTTATGAACCACCTATCCGGATTAGCTTTATGACCCCATCTCATTGTAGTTCCATAGTCTGCAGAAACAAAAGTAGGTTTGTTTCCATATTGGTTAGGTTCTGAATGAACTTTAAACAATGTTTCATTTCTATATGTTTTGTTGAAATTTAACCTTTTATTTTCACCGAGTTCAGCCAAAGATTGAACGTTATATGGTCGTAAGTAAAAAGGATTATTGTATTTGCGTACATTTTCTTTCAGTACTTCCATTCTATGCTGAATATTTTCATCTGATGTTGGAGTCTTTTGTATGTCGGCGAACATTTTTCGATATTCTTCTACTATGTCAGCCGAATTTTTCTTAGACTCTTGGAAAGATTCCATATTCTCCGCATACACTTGTTGAGGGTCAAGATTTTTCGGCTGTTCCAAATCTTCATCTAGTTCTGTGAAGTTAGTTTCCAAAGGAGGGACTTGTTCGTTTCCTTCAGGCTCTTCTAGCTGTTGTTGCTGAAATATTTCTTCCATGTCTGGTTGTATCTGAACTTCTTCCTGTTGAGTTTCTTGTACCTCATCTGCTGGCATTTCATATATTCCGAGACCGTTTTTAACAAGTTCCCTATCTAAGTCATCCGGACTCATAAACCTTTCTTCTTTCGTTCCGTCTCTATTTTTTACGCGTTTCATGAAGAGAGTTGAATTATCATTTAGCTCTGACACCAAATATCTCGGAGTAAATTCATTCATGTCATTTGGATGATATGCTATTAAATCATATCCCTTAGCGAGCTTGTATTTTCCAGGTTTAAGATTATATCCCATTTGGTGCTGAACCATAAAGCTAAATAGGTTCGGGTCAGTATTTCCTTCCTTGAACTTTCTAATAGCTTCTTTATATCTGTCACTAAAGTCAAGAGTATCTGGGTAACCATAATCATCCTTAAGCATTTTTAAGAATTCTTGGTTTCCTTTTTCTCTACTTCTTTTATGTCCTTGCTCTGTTTGTGGTTGTTGTTGTGCAGGGTTTTGAACTGTTGGTTGCTGTGCTGGTTGTGGTTGTTGTTGTGCAGGGTTTTGAACTGTTGGTTGTTGTGCTGGATTTTGAACTGTTGGTTGTTGTGCTGGATTTTGAACTGTTGGTTGTTGTGTTGGTTTTGGTGCATGCCTGTGTCTGTGTCCATGTGACGATGTAAATGTTTTAGGTAGTCCTGGTGCAGGTGCTTCTCTTGGAGGGTTTGGTGGTATATAAGTTCCACCAGCTGGCACATATGTTCCATCTGCAGCATAATGTCCTACCTGACTTTTCGTTCTTAAGAAAGCATTTACTAGGTTTGTTTTGGTCTGTTGTAACTCTTTTTCTTGACTTTCCACAACAGTTGCTCTAACGGCGTCATAGGCACTTTGAACTGCCTGTCTCGTTGCTGCATCTGTTATTTTCGTCATATTTTGTGCTACTTCTCTTAACTCTTTGTCGAAACCTTCAGACTTCAGTTTCTTTCCAGATGAGAAGTCGTTCACTAGTTTCACCTTACTATGAAGAGCTTCGAAGGCATTCTTAAAGTCAGCATTCATTAAAGCTTCATTTGAACTGTCTTCATCCGCTTGTATTTTTGTCCTTATTGACCCTATAAGTTGGGCTGCTTTAGCGTTGGCTTGGGCATCTAACCAGTCATTATTAGCTTTTATAATATCTGCGCTTTTCATTGCCTTTTGCATGGCTGCGTCGTTATTTTTACTTTCTTGTGCTAAGTTTTCATACTGTACGGTTTGGTTTTGCAACTGTAAAAGTTTTTCTGCCTTTACATTTGCTTCAACTTCTTTTTTATACTCATCGCTATCCATATATGTCTTCAGGGCTTTTTGTTTTATTTCTTCATCTTTCAGTACTTTATATTGAGTAGTATGGTTTTTCAAATTTATAACATCTTGTTCCATTTTTGCTACTTCTGCTGCTTTTTCTGACACTTTTTTCGCATATTCCTCTGTACTTAGTTCTTTCAGTTGTTCTTCTTTCTTCTTTTTCTCTACGTTTAACTCATTGAGTTTCTTTGTGTGTCTGTCATATTCTAGTTTCTTTTCGTTTTCACTTATTTGTTTCTGTATGTCTATGTTTGACTTTTTGACATCTGTTATTTGATTTTTGAGTGAACTCAAATTCATTTGACTTTGAGGGTTATAAGCTGTTCCGTCTGCAGCTCCACCATAGCCTGCCATTTTCGCTAAAAGTGCCGCTCTTAAACCTCCACTCTGTGCACCAATAACTCGGTTTAAAAGCATAGGGTTGCTTGACATTTGTTGCAACATAGTGGGGTCATTCATCATTTGTTGTTGCAACTGTTGTTGTGGTGTCAGTTTTACTATTGGATGTTTCAATGCTCTCTTCCTCTTACGTATATTCTTACGTAGCTTACGTGGCATTTTAAGTGAAGTTAAAAAGCGGTTTTTGTAGTTTAAAACATGCGGCTGTCACTTTTTTGTTTGCATATCTCTTATATAGTGAAAAACGGTTTTGTCACTTTTAAAAAACGGAGTTGTCTGTCACTTTTTAAAAACGGTTTTGGTTTTTATCACCGGCTGGTCGGCTGGGGTTCGGTCCTCCTCTTGGGTCTTGGGCAAAATTCTTAGGGCTAGAAGGGGCGCAGCCCCTGGAAGCCCCACATACCTGACCCTTGAATCATCATATTATATGCTATTAAATAAAGTTGCGATACTCTTTCTGTTCTGAGTCATAGTTGAAAATTCCAAAAAAAATTCGAAAAAAGAAAAATGAGAATCAAATATTTGATTTTTCAGATGAAAAAATAGATTTCGAATATTTTTTGGAAAACCAACTTATTGTATTATTATCCAGACTTTGAAGTTCAATCCTTTTGAAGTGCAAATTTGCAATATTTTTTGATTCTGATATTCAATTTTTTTCATTCTTCAACTTAAAGCTAATCAAATCTCACCAATTATGATAAAAATGATATATATCATACAAATTGCAGATAAATTAATAATGATTTTATTTCTATAACAACAAGTCAATATAATAAATGTATCTAAGTGTATTTGTAAATTTCTGGTAATGGTTATTGATTATGATATCAAACAATAACAGTGTGATAAGATTTCAATTTTCAATTTGGAATGAACCTCATGAAATCCAAGTAATTGTTTGGCAAACAAATATAATTCGGTAAGAAAAGTCAAAACACTCCTGAAAAACTGCATAAATGCATTTTAACATCGCAATTTAATCTCTACACAAAAATTGTATTGACAAATTTACTGTATATTTCAACTGTGCATTTACCATTTGAATGCAATTTATATATCTGATTATCTAACAAAAATTTTGGTTGGATACTATCGAATCGAAATTTCATTTTTTAATCTATGCTTTTATAAACGTAATTCTTGGTTCCAATCATTTTGAAAGCTACCCTATTACTGTGAATAGTTTTTAACGACATTTACTGAAATTGTAAAATATAATCAATCCAAAGAGAGATCATTCGAGTTAACATCCTATTACAAAGTATAGGTTGTTATGTTCTGTTGCATTGCCCCAATGATGGCTTGCTTAATAAAATACATAGGGAGATATGATCCTTGAAAATACCCTAGCATTTTTTTAAAAAATAAGGTTAAAGAGTGTTTGTACCTTTAGTAAAAATAAAAACTTTAAGTCTGCAAATGATAACATTAAGCTTGCTGCACTTATACATCTCATTATACTTTTTACCAAACGAAAATACCTGCAAAATTCAAAAAGATCAGATCTGAGATAAATTTTTGATCTTTGTTATGAAAATCCAAAATAGTTCTTTGTATAACATTAAAAGAAAAAGGAAAAATTTAAATCAATACTTTTTTTTTAAAATTAATATAAAGTAATCAAAATCGTTTAGAGATAATATTTAAGCTGGTGCATCGTCCAAAATCTCAAGATGAACATCTGGAAGTGTAAGTGGTCTCTCTGTTGTCTTAATGACCTCGACATCGATGTTATTAATTTGAGGTTCAAGGCGGAAGTTTCTATCATTTTCATGTGGGACACGATAATCCTTATAAAATGTATATATGACTTTTGACTGCTTATCTTCTGGATTCTCGCGTTTGATGACGCATAAATTAACATGGGAACCAGAACCAAGATCGTTTGTAATACCAGCATAGATAGCGTCGGCAACCATTTCCATGCAATCGTGCTCATTCATTTTATTGTGCCATCTATTTTCAAGAACAGAAATAGCAGCTAAGCTACCAGAGCCTTGAGCGATAAATGGCTGCTTGCTGAAAGAGCCGTGTGGGGCAACCTGGTAAACCTGTGGGCCCTGGAAGTCAATTCCACCAACGATAAGAGCTGCTTGGATGTAACCCATGTATTGGAAAAGACGACTTGCAAGAATATTTGTGCATTGATCGACACGTGGCTGTAAGCCGGTGTTCATTTGGAATAATCGAAGTTTTGCTGAAATTACTGCATTAATATTATCATTATCAGCAGCTATGCCAGCTCCGCAAACCCAAATATTATCTGAGATGTAGTGAAGCTTCATTTCATCCTTGACAGCAACAATTGGACCTGCTGTAGCTCTTGTATCAGCACCAAGAACAACGCCGCCATCAAAAATTGCTGCAGCAATTGTTGTACCTGTGGAGAGCAACTGTGGCTTGCCAAGCTTTGGCTCGAGAGATTTGTTACGAGCGTAATTGGAGAAGTCGAAACCTAAACCTGCTTCCATTTAATGAGGACGATAGAGAAAGTTGGTCAAAGTGAATCAACCCTTAATTATGAAGTTTTCGATTTTGACAGTTGTCTAAACATATGAAAATAATTCACTTTTCAACGAGAACAATATTAAAAAGTCCATAATTTAATTCGAACAATCAATAATTTCTAATATTTTATCAAAAGAAATATCAAATTGAAAAACTTTGGAAACATTTATATAGTACATAATGCAGTTTTAACTAGAAAATGATTTTTTAATCAATTTTGCAATTAATATTGATAATTAGAACAAACTACTTAGGATTTTATTAAAATGCCTGAGAAGAATCAATTCTAAATAAAATCGAAAATAAAGTAATGAAACATAATTACCAATATAGCTCAAGCCTAGCTCTCCGTGGTAGATACTAGATACACAAAAAGATCAGGCACTTAATAAGACTAGAAATGGTGAAATCTTCCAAATGAAATAAAATTTTTTTATTGAATGTAATATTTTGAAGTAGAGTCTTCAAAGGTTAAGGTATAGATAAGGATCTAAAAATGAGTTATCAGGTAATGAATTTTTATTTTTTTACAATTAATAAAATTAAAATAACAAATTATTATCAAAATCATATGTAATACTATTTAAAGCTCTTCTTCTGGAGTATCTTCCTGTAGTGTTTCATCTTGCGGTAGCAATTTCTTGATTTCATCGCTGATATCACTGAATTTTTCATTGAAAACTTCTTTTTCATCCTCTAAATGTTGGTCCAACCATTTATTTGTCTCGTCTAATATACTCTTCACTTCACTTTTCACTTTCATTGACAAACTTTCTTTTTCTTCTTCTAATCTTGATTTAATTGTTGCCAAATAAGCATTTAATCTATTCCTTGCGTCTATTCCCATCTTCTTCCTTTCATCATTTTCTTTTTCTTCTTGAGCTCTTTTGATCATTTCATCTCTTTGAGATTCACTCAATCTAGATTCGACTGCGTTGATTGTAATGGTCTCCTTTGTCTTGCTATGCTTATCTTCGGCCGTAACAAACAACATTCCGTTTGCATCGATCTCAAATGTGACTTCAATTTGAGGAGTTCCTCTTTTTGCTGGTTTTATGCCTGTGAGATCGAATGAACCCAGCTCATGGCAATCTCTGGTCAATGTTCTTTCACCTTCGAAGACTTGGATCCTTACTGTTTCTTGATTATCAGATGCAGTGGTAAAAATCTTGGATTTACTGGTTGGAACTCTGGAATTACGAGGAATTAATGGCGTCATGACACCGCCTTGCGTTTGGATGCCTAATGTCAATGGATTGACGTTCAAAATAATAATTCCTTCAACCTGTTCGGCTTCTGCAAGAATAGCACCTTGTACAGCTGCTCCGTAAGCTACAGCTTCATCTGGATTAACAGATTTGCATGGCTCTTTTCCGTTAAAGAAATCTTTGACTAATTGTTGAATTTTCGGAATTCTTGTTGATCCACCGACCAAAACGATTTCGTCTATTTCGGATTTAGTAAGTTCTGCATCATTAAGGACTTGGCTAACTGGTTCTAAGCATTTCTTAAATAAATCAGAATTAATATCTTCGAATCTTGCTCTAGTAAGAGTTTCTTCGAAATCTTTACCATCCATGAACTTTTCGATTTCAATTTTAACATTCAAATTTGTAGAAAGAGCAATCTTTGCATTTTCAGCTTCGCGTTTGAGTTTACCCATGGCTTTTGGATCTTTCTTTGGATCCTTTCTATGTTTCTTTATCCAGCATTGTCTTAAATATTCAATTGTTCGATCATCAAAATCTTCACCGCCAAGATGAGTATTTCCGCCTGTTGCTAAGACTTCGAAGACTCCATCTTCAACTGCGAGACATGAAACATCAAATGTACCTCCACCGAGGTCAAAAACCAAAATTTTTCTGGAACCTTCTTTATGAAGTCCGTAAGCTAAAGATGCAGCTGTTGGCTCGTTTAGGATTCTTAGAACTTGAAGGCCTGCTATTTGGCCAGCATCTCGTGTTGCTTTACGTTGAGCATCTTTGAAATATGCAGGAACTGTAATAACTGCCTTTTTAACAGGCTTGCCGAGATATTCTTCTGCAATTTGTTTCATTTTCGTTAAAATAAAAGCAGAGATTTCTTCTGGCGCGTAAACTTTCTTTTGATTCATGTAATCTACTTCGACAAATGGCCTATTGTCCTGATTAATTACTCTGTATGGAAGACGCTTTATCTCATTTTGTGTTTCATCATCAGAAAATCTAAGTCCCATAAGTCTTTTAATTGCGAAAATTGTGTTTTTAGGGTTATCTGCCATCTGGAACTTAGCAGCTTCGCCTACTAACTTCTCATGTTGCTTAAATCCAACAACAGATGCTGTTGTCCTCGATCCTGCTTCATTTGCAATTATATCAACTTTTCCGTTTTGAAAGATTCCAACACAAGAATAGGTAGTTCCAAGGTCAATACCTATAATAGGACTGCCAGAATTATCCATTCTTGCTAATGTAATCAAAGAAAACAAAATCATTTTTTAATAAAAGTGACAAAAATTTCATATGATTACCCCTATATGGGATAGCTTCGAGACAGAGGCTGACCAGCAAGCAATTGAAAGAATAGGTTTGTTTAGACAAGATGTGAATATGAAACTCAGAAATAATGAAGCAATTATTAATAATTTTGATTTGGATCCAAAAACAGTTGATCTTGAAAACTTAAGATTGATCCTTATGCATATCAAGTCAGAAAGAGAAAAAATTAGCAGTATTCATCAAAAATTAGTCGATGAAAAACATATTGCAAAGCGACAGCTTACTATTAAAGAAATATGCGGTGAAAAAGACTTCACTATAACAACATATACTGGATTCAATGCATTTGTTTAAAAAAATCCAAAAATAATAACACAAAATAGTCTTACTTACTCGAAAACTTACAGACAGTTAATTGAACATTTACCATGACCTAGATAATTCTAATTTACTTGAATTTTAACTTTCTGATGCATATATTATTTTGACTATTGGAATAGCATTAAATCAGAAGTTATTATTCAAGGTATATGTAATTCTCTTTGATGCGAAAGAGGATTATATTCAGGAAATACATTTTCCTCATAAATTCGAAATTTATTCTTGCATTTGACAAAATGCAGCTTCATTAATAGTTATTTGCACTATTTACATCTATAAACTTTCTTGTAAAAGCAATATCCCTTTGAATTTGAAAAAAATCTATAATATTTTTATTCTTTCAAGCCAAGAAGTAAAAACCTAATTAATATTCTTTATCTATAAAGTTGTTTTTATGGTTTTAGATATTTACAACGTTGATCAAAATTTCAAAATTAATTTCGAAATTTGGAATAGAGAATCCATGTTGCTTTTGCAGTATATAGTCTAATTAATGAAAATAACTGAGGTATATTAAATCATATTTATTTTATTTGGTCTCAACCTTGAAATGTGAATGGTAAAGATCATAGCATTGCTTAATAATTCTCTTAGCATGGCCAGCGCCCATTGGTTTGAATGTGCGGACTTCCTTGCGTTCAAGAGTCTTATAATCATTGAAGAATTGGTTGATCATAAGGAGCTTGAATGGTGGAAGTTCACTAACATCGTAGTAAATATTGTACTCTGGATCAGAGACAGCAACTGCGATAATCTTATCATCTGGGTCGCCACCATCAACCATTGGCATAATGCCAATAGGACGAACGCGCATTAAAGCAAGCGGTGGTACTGATAACTGGCAAAGAACTAAAATATCGAGAGGGTCATTATCTTCAGCCAATGTTTCTGGGATGAAGCCGTAGTTTGCTGGATAAATAACAGAAGAGTGAAGAATTCTGTCGACCTTAAGAAGTCCTGACGGCTTATCAAGCTCGGTTTTAACACGAGATAATGCTGGAATTTCAATTACAGCCGAAACAATATCAGGGAATGATGGGCCAATAGAAACTCCATGCCATGGATGTGCAACAGATAATGATCTCTCTGTTGGGATGTTAATTGTTTTGCCTTGTCCGCCAATCTTCTTATAAAGGGAGTCCATGTATTCATGATACTCTCTATCCTCCTTAGAGATTTGAAGGCCATCCTTCATCATAACATGATCATCGACTTCGTCTGCAACTTGTACAGTCATGTCTTTGAGAAAAAAAAGTTATCGAACGGAAAATCAGCCCTCAAAAATTGAATTGAATGATTTCAAAACCGGTAGATGACTTCATCTTTGGTTACCGTATTGGTTTTAATTGCGCAAACTAACTTCATCAGTGATATGTAGATGATTTTTCATGCAAATTAGCTGATTAAACAAAACTATTCGAGAAAATTTTTTTCACCGATGAAAATAAAATGAAGGAAATTCTCTGTGAAAGTTAAATTTTCAAGCGAATCCTGCCCATGCAGCAAGATGAATCTACATAGAATGCAATAAGATATGGTTGGCTATGACACACGCTAGACTATTTGATATCTCTAACTCATCTTTATCCTGGACTTTTTTGTGGTACTTTCGTGTTTTTAGAAGCACTAATTCATTGTGGAATCTTTATATATAGTGCCATATATATGACTCGCATGAGCTCATATTATGCAACAAATATCAAAGCCCATCTTTTCTGTCTATTTTGAGAAATTTCATTTTGAAATTTCAGTAAAATCGAAGTTTTGCTTAGCATCGTAATCGTTATTTGAATTGAGTACCAAAAACATGTGAAATAAATTATTGAGGCATTCAGAAAATTTAATGAAGATTCAATTAAGATATCAATTTAATACATTCGACGTTGACGTCCCAGAAGAAGCATTAGGTGCACTCTTATTTGACAAAGCTGTTAAAGAAACCAATATTATTCGTAAACAAGTTAGAATTGTTTATAATAAAAATGGAGAAAACGTTCCAATTGCTGAAAATACAAAAATAAAAGACGTTGGAGCTACAACTTTCATTATTAAAGATATGGGACCACAAATTGGCTGGAGAACATCATTTTTACTTGAATATTGCGGCCCATTTGTTATTTGTCCACTTCTTTTACTCATTTTACGCAACAAATTGGTATGGAATTCGTATTTTACAATTGGAATCATCATGTGGGAGCTTCATTACGCTAAAAGAATTTACGAAAGTATTTGGGTTCATACATTTTCACATGCAACAATGCCATTAGCCGATAGCATGAGAAATGTAGTTTACTATTGGACATTCACAATCTTAGTTAACTATAATTTATACGATAAATCACTTTCTGTAAAAGGATTACACTTATACCAGATCCTTGCTATACCATGCTGGTTCGTCTGTGAATGCTTGAACCTTTATTGCCATATTGGACTCGCAAATCTTCGTCCAAAGGGCTCAAAGGAACATTATCTTCCAAAAGGCTTTTTATTTGACCAAATTGCATGCCCTAACTATACCTTTGAGATTTCTGGATGGATCTTCTTCTCCATCTATAGCGGTTTATTGATTTCTTTCTTCTTCACTATTTGTGGCGGAACTACAATGTTTATCTGGGCTGAAAAGAAGAGAAATAACCTCATTAAGAAATGGCCTGAAGCAAAGAACAGAGGAAGAATTTCTCCATTTACATTTTTCTAAATTGATAAAATTTTAAAAAATATTTAGCATTAACTCTTTTGAATAAACACTAGAACAATTTTAGTAATCATTTATAATATTATTTTGAAATCATTTATAAATCTAGGTAAAAATGATTTAGATTATGTGATAAATACTCTAAATCTCATGAAATCTGCTTTAAAATTATTTAAAAATCATGAAGTCAATCCTATTCTGATAATCATAAAGGATAATCCTTTATTTGAGATATTTCATATCCGAAATAAAGGCCAAGAATATTGTTATTAAATTTCTAATAAAAAATATCATATATAATAAAACTATTTAATCAAATTTTACATTGCCATTCTTAGAAATATGGCCAATAATGCTTACATCTTCGTCATCGTCATGGAAAGATACAAAATCATCATTTGCTTCAGCTTGAACATCAGTTAAGAGGGTATCGCCATAGAAGTCAATCTTATTAATTGCAATGCAAGCTGGATATCCTGGGCAATTTGCTGTTTGAATGAGCTTGATGTATTTAGCAGTATATGTCTTCTCGAACTTGTAGCTCTTTTCCTTGCATCTGATCATTTCATAGTCCTTTTCAACTTTGTGAACTTCATTCCAAGTAATATTGTCGTCTGAGATTAAAAGCTTCCATGAATAGAGGCAGCAGTCGAAGCAGCCATATCCATCATCGCAGCAGCAACCGTCATAGCAGCATCCGCAGCGAAGTAAGTAACCATTAAATCTGAATTTCCTGCCAATCAATGAGAAAATAATGTATGGGTATTCTTTGTAATCATAAATGCAATTTGAGCACCAATCATAACGCTTATCCCATGGATAAATTGCATATTCTGGCTTTGTTAATTGCATTGATCCATTGATATACTGTTTCGAGTTACCGCTGACATCCAGGGAGATTATTTTATCATTATATACCTTCTTAAATATAAGTTTTTCATCAGTACTGATGATTTGTTTGAAAAACAATGAAATCATTGCTTTTCTTTACAATTGTCAAATTTTCATTGAAGTAAATTTCTGAATGAGTTTTCTTTCTTTGTTAATCTCCCTTTCAAAAGAAGAATACCAGCCTGGTATATTTGCAAAAACATTCAATGATAAACTTGTTGTTATTGATACCAGTGGATCATCCAAACAACAGATAAATGGAACGATGCAGATGACTTTACCGGAATACTCTATTTACCCATGGGATAAAAAATATGATTGGTGCTCTAACTGCCCACATACATATAAAGAGCACCCTTACATCACATATTCCTTGAAATCAAGAAAATTCAAAATTAATAGTTACTTCATCCGTTGCGGATGTTGCTATACTGGATGCTGCTGCGATGATGGTTATTATGGCTGCTTTGATTGCTGCTTATATTCATGATCTCTTCAAATTTCGGATGATAATCAAACATGGAAAGAAATCCACAGAGTTGATAAAGATTCTGAAATGAGGTATTGCAAGGAGAAGACATACAAGCTCGATAAGGAATACACAGGCAAATACGTCCGAATTTTCCAAAATGAGCCATGCCCTGGTTATCCACCATGCATTGCCATCAATAAGTTTGAGGTGTATGGAAATGTTATTGAAGAAGATGGAAATGCTGTGGATGATGGATTTATTTCCTATCACGATGATGATGACGATGTAAGCATAATTGGCCACATCTCTAGAAATGGAAAGACAAAGATTGAATAAATTAACAAATTTTACAAACTATTTTAACATTTTTTTGAAAATAAATTATATTTCAAAGAATAGAGTATCGAGATGTAAATAGTTACATACCAATGAAGGAACCATTAATATTGAAAGATATGAAATCTTGAAAATCAATTGATTTAATTATATTTTTTTTTTGATTATTGATATAAATATCTCGTGAAGATAGCTTCATTAAGATTTTTAAAGAAAAATTCATGAAAATACAATTATTAAGATTCTCTGTATCTAATTTACAAAAATCAATTCATACGGAAATATAATTAAAATGATTTGCAATGAAATGTGGCGATACGTTATGTTATGCGGATCATCATTTTGTTCAATATTGAAATTGGTGTCGTTGGATCGTAATTCAATGTTTTACATGTCAATTTGTGTCAAATGACATTAATTTTATGCAGCTTCATCATGAACCCAACCACCGTTGGAATTTTTTGTTGTTGAAACAATGAACTAGTAGTTCTTAGATATTACAGCAAAAGATTCTAGCTAGTAAACACTGGAAAATATTGCCGCTCATTCCAATTTGTTTATTTTATTACATTTGAATATTAAAAAGATGAATTCAGATATTTTGACCTTAGAATGCTAAACATCATTTCATAAAATTCGATTAAATTTCAAGTAATTTATCATCTCATTAATTTCCTGAAAATATAAAATAGCATGCTAATATGATATCGTATAAATTTGAAAATGCCTCCTATGGACGAGTGATTGATGGTGTCCATGTGATCAAGGATTCATTAAGGAAAAAATATACATTTATCTATCCTTGTAAATCTACATCCGAATGCACAGACTATATAATTGATCTTTCCCCTGGAACGTATCTATTTGAGCTTTATGGTGCTTCAGGCGGCTTTAGAAAAGATGCAATAAGTTCATTCATAGATAAAGATGGTGTTTGCCATAAAAATACATTCGCTTCATCGAAAGGTAATGTCGGCTGCAATAAGAAAGGCGATCGAGGCGGTGCTGGTGGCTATATTTCCGGCGTAATCAGCATCCGAAAAACATTAAGGTCATATGCGACTGTCGGTGGAAAAGGAGACTATCGGTATAACGAAAAAGTTTTGTCAGGCTCACCGAATAACTACCTTCCTAAAAATTGGGTCAAGGGTGGTTATGGAGGCGGTGGCCATGCGACAAACTGGTACTTCAGAGATGACTTTTGGGGAACGGGAAGTGGTGGTGGCCAAACCGCTGTCAAATTTGAACAAAACGATCTTTGGCATCGCGTAATAGTGAGCGGTGCGGGAGGTGGAAGCGACAACTATTCGCCAGTTCCGTTCGGAAATGATGATGATGGCTCTGGTGGTGCAGGAGGTGGCCTGGTGGCACAAGGTTTTTGGTTTAATGGGAAATATGATGGAAATCGTGTTGCGAACTCTACATTTGGATTTACATTTGGATCGGGCGAAACAGCTCAAAAGGATGGCTCCAAAAATAAGAAGTATGGTGTTCCGAAGGGAGATGGCGAATGTGATAGAGCTGGAGCAGGAGCTGGTTGGTTTGGTGGCTTCGCATCTCACAACGGAAATGCAGGTGCTGGCGGAGGGAGCTCATGGGCATTGACAATTGATGCTAAAATACCTAAAGGAGATATTGAAGCTCATGATTCTCTATACAAATCTCTTGGGAAGAAGAAATATGCTCTCACTCAAAAAGATAAGTATTTGTTTCATGATGTTGTAGATATCCCTGGAATCTGGTCCGGAAATGGTAAACTCATTATTACTGTAATTGAGTTCAACCATATATCAGTAGATTGTGGTCCACTATCTCATTTTCATTTTGTTTTGATGTTGGGCTTCTATTTAGATGTTTCATTCTAAAATACTCAAACTTGATTCGTTAAATTTACTATTTTTCTTCAAAACGTGTTATATATGCTGTGTTTTCTTTCAATAAATGAGAGTTAGGATAAATTTATGATATTGTAGATTATATATTACAAATATATAGTTTAATCTAAAACAAATTAATGATTATATTCAATATTTAGTATCTGTAATTTAGAATTTATAAGATATAATAACATATGAAGTTGGAATGTTTGTAAAGTTTTAAATCAGACAGGGTTTAGTAGAGTAAGTAAAAATATTCTAATGAAAGTAAAGTAATGCAGAATATGGATAAAAAACATCGCAAAACTTTATTTCTGGTTATCTAACTTGGGAATAGTTAATAAACTGCCCGAAACTGGAGTAAAATCATAATAAAATATTAAATCGGGAGCATTTTGCTCTTCTTCTGGGTGTTCGTTTGTAGGTTTATCGAATTCTGATAATCTTTGAGTAAAATCTGTTACAGGTCTGAATTCATCATCCGTTACTTTAATTAAAATGTGGACATCTTCAGGGCAAACAGTACCGCCATGATGCTTAGAGACAATATACATCAAATCATATATTGATGCTGTTGTTCTATCAACTCTCTTTTTAAATGTAATAAATGGGCATTCTCGAAGATTAAATTGGACATCTATTGGATCAGGAACAGAACTGAAAATGCCCAAAGGCGGTGGCTGAGCTCCTGCAGCAGTCCTTGATGTCTTTTCACTCATCCTGAAATTTGAATATAAAATTAAAAACGAACTTCTCGGAGATTTGTCATCGTTTTCCAAGATTTTCCTTCAAACAAAAAGATTACAATGGATTGTTTATTCCGTCACAGTTAAAATGCAATAGCTTAAGGAAGGGTTTTGTCGTTTCCAATTTCTAATAACTTCAAATTCGTGAATTTGAATATTTCTAATCTGTACGCAGGCAGATGCAGAATTTAGCAACTATTGTTTATTCTCTAACCGCAGATTGTAATCAATGTCTTTCACTTTATAAATGGCTTTGTAACTGAATCTGGAATAACATGAGGAATCGAAGGAAGACCAAGAACTATCAAAGACTAACTGGACAAACGAGAAGATATCAGATAATAGGGGTATCCCAAACTTAGTCTTTCAATTACTAAGCGACTTAAATAACACAATTAAGATTTCAATTTTTGAAGAATCACGTCTCATCTTCAATTCAGGATAACGCATGATCATTGCTCACATAATCAGTAAGAACACCGCAGAAGCTTCTCAAGTTACTTTCTTCACAAGTTTCTTCTAAAATCTTCCGAGGATTAACCTTGAAGGCCATCTGAATTATAATATCATTTCATTAATAGTTCATAATTCCAAGTTATAGACTTATTTTTGACTGTGCGTTCAGAATCTTAAAGATTTCGAAGAGGATAAGACAATCTCCTGTTCATGAATAGGCTGAATTCAAGTAATTCATAAATATTTTGTTGTGTTTGTTCATTTGTTTTTGTGTTGATGTGTATGTGCTGATGTATGTTGTATTTTTATCAAGATATCAGCAAGAAGAAAAATGAAATTTTCATAATCAACATTTAACAAATTATTTCAATACTATGTTGATAGTTATGTATATTTTTCGTGTTATTTTAACAGTAATTTCATAGTATTTTTGTCACTTTTATCGTCATGAAGCGGTTTTGGCCGTCCTTTTTGTCGAATGGGTCATACAGAAGGCCTTCGCCACGCTACACGCTATCTTTTCGCTCGCAAATTCCGCAAGCACGGAGCTCCAGCACCATCAATCACACTTCGTACTTTCCGTATTGGTGACATCGTTGACATCAAGGTCAATGGTGCTCTCCACTCTGGCATGCCAAACCGCGTTTACCACGGTGCCACAGGTATTGTCTGGAACGTTTCTCCACACGCTGTTGGTATCCTTGTAAAGCGCCGCGTTAACAACCACATCGCTCCAAAGAGAATCTACGTTCGCACAGAGCACGTCTTCCCATCCAAGTCCAAGAACGATTTCGTTGCACGTTGCCAGGCTAACCTCAAGGCTCACGAAGAAGCCAAGAAGGCCGGAACAAAGATTGCTCTTCCAAAGCGCCTTCCAGCTCAGCCACGCGCTTCCCACGTTGTTAAGCCAGAGCTCATCCAGACAATCACAGATGCTCCATTCCGCGAGAACTGGTAAAAAGCTTTTTTATATAAATTTACAAATAATTGATCAAATTGTTTTTAACATCTATTACTTAAATATCAATTATTTGAACAGTTCATAATTTCCCTCATATTTTTTCCTCTTTTTTTCCAAAATATAATTTTACAATCAGCGGCTATCATCAGTTTTCTCTTGTTTTATATAGTAAAATCTCACAGTCGTTCAAATCTATATACTTTTACCAGTTCTCGCGGAATGGAGCATCTGTGATTGTCTGGATGAGCTCTGGCTTAACAACGTGGGAAGCGCGTGGCTGAGCTGGAAGGCGCTTTGGAAGAGCAATCTTTGTTCCGGCCTTCTTGGCTTCTTCGTGAGCCTTGAGGTTAGCCTGGCAACGTGCAACGAAATCGTTCTTGGACTTGGATGGGAAGACGTGCTCTGTGCGAACGTAGATTCTCTTTGGAGCGATGTGGTTGTTAACGCGGCGCTTTACAAGGATACCAACAGCGTGTGGAGAAACGTTCCAGACAATACCTGTGGCACCGTGGTAAACGCGGTTTGGCATGCCAGAGTGGAGAGCACCATTGACCTTGATGTCAACGATGTCACCAATACGGAAAGTACGAAGTGTGATTGATGGTGCTGGAGCTCCGTGCTTGCGGAATTTGCGAGCGAAAAGATAGCGTGTAGCGTGGCGAAGGCCTTCTGTATGACCCATTCGACAAAAAGGACGGCCAAAACCGCTTCATGACGATAAAAGTGACAAAAATACTATGAAATTACTGTTAAAATAACACGAAAAATATACATAACTATCAACATAGTATTGAAATAATTTGTTAAATGTTGATTATGAAAATTTCATTTTTCTTCTTGCTGATATCTTGATAAAAATACAACATACATCAGCACATACACATCAACACAAAAACAAATGAACAAACACAACAAAATATTTATGAATTACTTGAATTCAGCCTATTCTTGTGAAACATAAGATATCCAGAAATATCATGTACTTAATATTTTTACTATTAATGAGAATATCCGTAGTTCTTACCACTTGGCTTTCACAATTATATGTGAAACAATCTTATAATTACAAAAAAATGATTTCATATCTTATCAGATTTTAAAATGAATGAATTCACTTTGAAATTTTTGATACACACTAGAAAATTGGCATTTTCTAATGAGTATATTATTATGGATGATATTTGTTCATTAGTAGTAGGATAGGGCGGGGTGTGTGACTTTTTTTGTTACGTCTATATATAGATGAAGGTATATTTTAATGCATCTTCTATATATAGATGATATAAAAATTTTTTCTTACGTTTTTTAAAAGTCATGAATTTGTAAGAAAGTGCGACATTATTAAATAAATTAGTAATAAATATTTATATACTAAACACATTAAAAAATTAACATTATTTTTAAAAATAATTTATTTATTTTATCTTACATAAAAGAAGCTATATATAGATGATGTCAGATATTCCGCGATTAATTAAACATTGTTTAAATCCTGAATGGGTTAAAGACCTCATAAACGAGTAAAAAATAAACTTCTTACGCAAAATTAAACGCAAGACTATCAAAAGATAGAGTTGAAAGAGTAATGGTAATGATGAAAAAGAAATTTGATGAGTTCAACATTGAACTTTAAGAAACTAATGATTATTTGAATTTATGATATCAATTATCTGATTTATTCTTTCTTCAATCTCTTCTATTCTTTTTGTTAAATCATCTATTTTCATTAATGAGGTGATTCTTGATTGGGGAATAGATTTCAAACTAACCACTCCTTTTATTTTTGAAATTTTGAATCCATCAACTTTAAACATTTTATTCAATTTACATGTTGTCAATTCTTCAAATAATTTTTTATTATTAGCATAATAGTCATTAAATTCTTCAACAGATGAAAAAATTTTTATTTCAGTAATTGGTTTAACAACGTTTATTTTTTGTTGAACATTTTCACTTATTTCTTCCTCCTCTGTTTCATTTATTTTTAAAATCGGTTTCATTTATCATTAAATAAAAATTAGAATATAAGTGATGAAATATATTTTTGAAGAACTGAAGGTGTCACTACGTCACCATGTGTCACTCGGTTAATTAACTTCTCTGAAAAAATGAGACAACATGACATTTTGACAACAGTCCTGGAAATAAATTTTATCGTTAATGTTTTGTCATGATTTCATCGTTAATGCTTTGTCATGACTTCATCGTAAACACTTTGTCAAACATGAACGTAAACACTTCATCAAAACTAAACGTAAACACTTCATCAAAACTAAACGTAAACACTTTGTCATGACTTCATCGTAACTAAATATATTTTATGTCTGAAGTTAATTAGTTAATAATGTAGCGGATGAACTGCAGAAATAATTTTTAGTCATTTATGCTCATTACGAAGAAATCATAACTAAATATATTTTATGTCTGAAGTTAATTAGTTAATAATGTAGCGGATGAACTGCAGAAATAATTTTTAGTCATTTATGCTCATTACGAAGAAATCATAACTAAATATATTTTATGTCTGAAGTTAATTAGTTAATAATGTAGCGGATGAACTGCAGAAATAATTTTTAGTCATTTATGCTCATTACGAAGAAATCATGACAAAACATTTACGATGAAGTCATGACAAAGTGTTTACGTTTAGTTTCGATGAAGTGTTTACGTTTAGTTTTGATGAAGTGTTTACGTTCATGTTTGACAAAGTGTTTACGATGAAGTCATGACAAAGCATTAACGATGAAATCATGACAAAACATTAACGATAAAATTTATTTCCAGGACTGTTGTCAAAATGTCATGTTGTCTCATTTTTTCAGAGAAGTTAATTAACCGAGTGACACATGGTGACGTAGTGACACCTTCAGTTCTTCAAAAATAATTCATAAGTGCCTTCCTCATTAATCCTGCTGTGTTGTCAAAATGTCATGTTGTCTCATGTTTGACAAAGTGTTTACGTTCATGTTTGACAAAGGATATACGCTCATGTTTGACAAAACATTAACGATAAAATTTATTTCCAGGACTGTTGTCAAAATGTCATGTTGTCTCATTTTTTCAGAGAAGTTAATTAACCGAGTGACACATGGTGACGTAGTGACACCTTCAGTTCTTCAAAAATAATTCATAAGTGCCTTCCTCATTAATCCTGCTGTGTTGTCAAAATGTCATGTTGTCTCATGTTTGACAAAGTGTTTACGTTCATGTTTGACAAAGGATATACGCTCATGTTTGACAAAACATTAACGATAAAATTTATTTCCAGGACTGTTGTCAAAATGTCATGTTGTCTCATTTTTTCAGAGAAGTTAATTAACCGAGTGACACATGGTGACGTAGTGACACCTTCAGTTCTTCAAAAATATATTTCATCACTTATATTCTAATTTTTATTTAATGATAAATGAAACCGATTTTAAAAATAAATGAAACAGAGGAGGAAGAAATAAGTGAAAATGTTCAACAAAAAATAAACGTTGTTAAACCAATTACTGAAATAAAAATTTTTTCATCTGTTGAAGAATTTTATCATAAGACAAATTACGGAAAGTGAACTCAAACAAAAAGTGACACAATGCATTTGCCAACCAAATAACTTTACAAAGCAAAAACTTAAATTACTTGTCAAGCTTACTATTCTTTATTTAACAATTAAAAAATTAAATTTTATTTTTATTTAAAAAAATCATCTTATATCATCTGATATATATATATCTTATTTAAAAAATCATCTTTGTCTGAATGTTAAACTATTCGGACAAAGTTTCCCGCTGTTTGCGAAGGAATTGTTGGCTATGATGTACTGATTCATGATCAGTACATCATAGCCAACAATTCCTTATACAAAGTTCAAAAACTTGGGTGCAATCAGTTCTGATTGCACCCAAGTTTTTGAACTTTCTCGAGGGAATGAAAGGTAAGAGGTATACATTATGAATATATACCTCTTACCCTTCCATTCCCTCTCTGACAGCGGGAAACTTTGTCTGAATGTTAAACTATTCAGACAAAGTTTCCCGCTGTTTGCGAAGGAATTGTTGGCTATGATGTACTGATTCATGATCAGTACATCATAGCCAACAATTCCTTATACAAAGTTCAAAAACTTGGGTGCAATCAGTTCTGATTGCACCCAAGTTTTTGAACTTTCTCGAGGGAATGAAAGGTAAGAGGTATACATTATGAATATATACCTCTTACCCTTCCATTCCCTCTCTGACAGCGGAAACTTTGTCTGAATGTTAAACTATTCAGACAAAGTTTCCCGCTGTTTGCGAAGGAATTGTTGGCTATGATGTACTGATTCATGATCAGTACATCATAGCCAACAATTCCTTATACAAAGTTCAAAAACTTGGGTGCAATCAGTTCTGATTGCACCCAAGTTTTTGAACTTTCTCGAGGGAATGAAAGGTAAGAGATATCCATTTCCTTTCACCTTCGTTCTCAATAATTAACTTATAAATTTTTTAAAGCAAAAAAAGTCTGATTTTTTTTGACAAGTAAATATATAGGGAATTTATCCGACCAAATAAGTGTCACTTTTTCGGTTCACCTCACTTTCCGTAACTCGTCTTACAACAATTTAATGACTATTATGCTAATAATAAAAAATTATTTGAAGAATTGACAACATGTAAATTGAATAAAATGTTTAAAGTTGATGGATTCAAAATTTCAAAAATAAAAGGAGTAGGTGACAAAAGTGCATACTCTTAAATTAACCTTAAATGTTGATTTTTCGATATTTTCGGTATTAACCTTATTGTAAATTTTTCCGGTGATAAATTTATCACACTGAGGTTATTTTTCCGGTGAGATTTTTAACCTTGATTTAATGAAATTAATATATATAAATTTTATTATTTTTAATTTCGAATGAGTATAATAAAATATTTTTTATGTGTTTTTGTTTTTGATGTGATTTGAATTTTGTTAACTCTTTTCAAAATCACTTCATTTTTATGATTTCGGTGGACTTAGAGGAGCTTATTGCTTTTGGTATTAAACAGGAAGTCAAGGGCGGTGTCCCATACAGAAGAAGAACGGGATCTTCTGAATACTACTACTATAAAATATAATTGCTTATCTATGTATATTATCCCTGCATGATATCAAGACTTGGCTATTAGTCTTTATCTATTTTTGAAAATTGTATTGTAAATTGTAAGAATTTCTGAATACTACTACTATAAAATATAATTGCTTATCAATGTATATTCTCCCTGCATGATATTAAGACTTGGCTATTAGTCTTTATCCATTTTTGAAAATTGTATTGTAAATTGTAAGAATTTCTGAATACTACTACTATAAAATATAATTGCTTATCAATGTATATTCTCCCTGCATGATATTAAGACTTGGCTATAAGTCTTTATCCATTTTTGAAAATTGTATTGTAAATTGTAAGAATTTCTGAATACTACTACTATAAAATATAATTGCTTATCAATGTATATTCTCCCTGCATGATATCAAGACTTGGCTATAAGTCTCTATTCATTATGAGTATGACCCCATTTTTTTTACAAAAAGTGCCGAATTGCAACTTTGTCCCAATCTCAAATAAAAGAAGTGGTTAGTTTGAAATCTATTCCCCAATCAAGAATCACCTCATTAATGAAAATAGATGATTTAACAAAAAGAATAGAAGAGATTGAAGAAAGAATAAATCAGATAATTGATATCATAAATTCAAATAATCATTAGTTTCTTAAAGTTCAATGTTGAACTCATCAAATTTCTTTTTCATCATTACCATTACTCTTTCAACTCTATCTTTTGATAGTCTTGCGTTTAATTTTGCGTAAGAAGTTTATTTTTTACTCGTTTATGAGGTCTTTAACCCATTCAGGATTTAAACAATGTTTAATTAATCGCGGAATATCTGACATCATCTATATATAGCTTCTTTTATGTAAGATAAAATAAATAAATTATTTTTAAAAATAATGTTAATTTTTTAATGTGTTTAGTATATAAATATTTATTACTAATTTATTTAATAATGTCGCACTTTCTTACAAATTCATGACTTTTAAAAAACGTAAGAAAAAATTTTTATATCATCTATATATAGAAGATGCATTAAAATATACCTTCATCTATATATAGACGTAACAAAAAAAGTCACACACCCCACCCTATCCTACTACTAAGATACAAGGGTATTCTTCATTATCAATAAATTGTAACTTATGTTTACGTATAAATTTAGTACCTTCTTCTGAAAGTGTTTCGTCTATTTCACCATCTAATAAATTTTGTGTTGATTCTGAGAAATAATTTTTATATCTTTCTTCATGAGATTTCTGAACTTCTGATTCTGAAGCTGGGATATTCATTAAACCCTCTACTTCATTTTCATTATATTTTTCAACTTCTCTTAATTCCTTAATTTTTTCATCTATTTCATCTCTTATTTTTTCCAGTCTTTCAATTTCATCATATTCATCATCTTTAATTCGTTCTTCATAATATTCAGGGAAAACATCAGGTTCTTTAGGTTTTTCTTCTTCAGATGTGGGATATAAGAAATTTATAACATCATCTTTATTCATTTTTCCATCATAATCTAAATCATTTAATAACTCCGCGAATTTTTTACAATTTCTTAAATAATATTTATCAACTTCATAACCCGCCTCCTCTAATATATCCTTTATTTCCTCGTTTGTGAATCCTAATTTTTTAACGTTGTTAGTTTTGACGCTCATTTCATACAAAATAAAAAAATAAATTATTCAAAAATGTAAGACATGAATTTTTAAAGTTTATTTTTCATTCATGAAAATAATTATTTCTAATTTCTTTTACTCGTTTATGAGGTCTTTGATTATGACTCCATTATATTTATACCTCCTTTCATACCTGTTGTCAAAATGTCATGTTGTCATCATTTTTAAGAGAAGTTAATTAACCTGGTGACATGGTGACGTAGTGACACCCTCAGTTCTTCAAAAATAATTAATTAATCGCGGAATATCTGACATCATCTATATATAGCTTCTTTTATAAAAGATAAAAAATAAATTATTTTAAAATTAATGTCTTACATTTTTTAATGATTTATTTCATTATGTATGGGCTGAGTGTAAATGTCTTACAATTTTGAAAATTTTTTAAATCTTGATTTATTCAAAAACGTAAGAATAAAAACCGTAAGAATCATACATTTTTTACTTCATATGTTAAAAAAAATGATACAAAATCGCTCGATATTGCATGAATTCTTACGTTTACAAAAAAAGTCACACAACCCTTCATATCATACTACTTTCATTTCAATAAATTCATTATTTGTTACTTCATTAAATTGGATTACTTATTTGTGCTATAGTTGATTAAGAAACACCGATGAATCAGGGAATACTTTCTTCATAATTGAGTTAATATTTTTCACGCAATCACTATATTGCTTAAAAGGGATATACTCTTCAATACATCTATTTCCATTATATGTAGAATTGCTTAGTGAAAGTTTCGAAATTTGACGATAATCTAAATGAATATTTTCAACGGAAGGATTAAGTGAAAGGGAAACTATTGGGGTTTGCTTAGGTTGTGGTAACATGCAAAATTCTTCCCGTGTAACAAATAATACCTCTGAATTTTTTGTGATCACACCATGAGCATAAAATACATCCATTTTATCTATATGAACAAGCAAACATGTTTTTTCGTCACTAATATAATAACCTGTCAGCGGAATCCAGCAAGATGAAAATATATCTGGTGAATAGTTTTCTTCTGGGATGGTTATAATAACTTCTTCATTTACTGTGATGAAACCCCATTTCCTTAAAGTAATTTCATCATTAATAATAATTGGAACAAAATCACCTGGAAGTATGCGATTGGATGGAACAAATGGGGTTGTATCCTTATTGATACTCAGCTTTGTCTTACTTTTTAGTTCGTTTGTTGATACATTCAGTGAATATCGAAACATTTTATAAATAAAATTCAAAAAAGAAGGGGGTGAATGAAATTAGTGTACGTTTAAATATTTAATGCAATCAAGGGAGGGAATGACAAAGAAGGCCGAAAAAACTCAATCCCGACTTGAAAAGCTTCACGAAGAAGCAACACTTGCATTAACAGAAAAAAGAGAGCAAATTGAAGCATTAAATAGTCAAATAGATTTAGCAGAGAAACAGAACGCTCAATTAAAAGCAGAATTACAATCAAAAACTTTTAAAATGCAGGAATTTGAAAATGAAAATCAGCAGAATGAAGAGGAAGAAGATGGTGAGCCTCAAGAATTTCAAAATTTACGAGAAAATCATGAGCAAGAGCTCAAGAAACTTATTGATAGTCATGAAGAAGAACTGAGAGTATTAAAAGATGAGTGTGCTAGAAAATTAGCTGCTGCTGAAGAATGGAATAAAAAACATTCTGAAACACTAAAGCTTGAAATGCAGATTAAAGTTGATGGTTTAAAGAGTCAAATAGAAATAATTAAAAAGCAGCAAAGTGATGCTCTACTTACACAAACTCAAACCAGAAATAAAATTTATCAAGAGCAAAGAGCTGAAGAAGTTGCCAACGAGCAAAAAATACAACTTTTAGAAAATCAAATATCAGAAGTACAATCTCTTTCGCGTGAAGAATTGCGTGGCATTCGCGCTAAAATTGAAGAATGTCTTGTAACTGTAGAATTACGACAAAAGGAACATCAAATAGAGCTAGATCGTTATAAAAAGGAGATGGAAGAGAGAAATGAAACGTATAATCAGCATATTTCCACATTAACAGAGCAATTAAAGAATGAAAAAGAAAGATTAGAGCAAGAATCGAGAACAATTGAAATAAAAATAGCTTCGATGGAAAAGATATTATCACAGCTCCAAAATCATCACCAGAAACAAATGGAAACCACTCAGCATGATATAGAAAGAATGAAAATTTCAATTGATAATGCGAAAACAAGAGGAGAGCAAACATTAACATATACGAAAACATCTTTTGCGCAGTCAACAACGAATACAAGAGAAATTAAACAGCTACAAGAAGATATTAATCTGCTGGATAAAGAAATTCTTGACTTGCAGAACGAAAATGCCGATCTTAGAGGGGAGTTGGAGCATCTTCTGCAGTCCAAACAAAGAAAAGGGAAATAATATTTATACTTTATCATTATTAATTTGTGTTATATTTACTATGTTTTAAATTTATTGTTATCTATTCAATAATATTATCTTTTTAATCATTTTATAGAATGATATTGATATGCTACTAAAATTTGGCCATAAAAATGTAAAATTTAAAATAAATTTGAAATATCAAATTAAGAAATTCAAAAATTAAAGTCAGTATTATATTAATTTTAATATATAAACAAAATCAAAAGGTATAGATTATTGGTTATCATCGGAATGTAATAATTCTGGTATTAATTTCAAAACTTCTTGTATATCGTTTACAATATCACTCAGCTCGTTCCATATTGGCATATATTGTGTTGGACGGCCATTCTGAATGTCTGCTTCCAATTGTTGAGCTTTTGGTAGCAATGATGCCAAGCGTTGCCTTACATAGGCTTTAACAGATTTAGCAATTTCATATTGGCAGTAAATGCAAATGAATGGATTTGTATCTTTGGAATTTTTAAGATGAACGCAATCTTCATGAAGCCATTTCAAACAAGAGTCACATTGTATCTGCACAGATGATCCATGTGTTAAACCACATATGCAACGTGTTTCTTGAACAACTTCAACATCTTCATTATCTATTTTTTGCTGTTCTTCATTAGAAAGCGGTGTATCAGTAGGACCTGCCATATCTGGTGTTAAAAGAAATGCATTGGCAATTGCAAGATAATTCTCAGGAATTGATGGTTTTGTAAATCTTTTTGAAACAATTGGACCTGCAGCTACTTTTTTAACAATTGGTGTTGTAGGAGGAGCGTTGTCATGCAATAAATCGCGAAGTGATGTTGATGGCTTCTCTTCACTCATAAATGCAAATTTTAACTGTCACCTTTTTATTGAAAATTTGAATTGTTTTTTTCAAATTGATTTTCAATTGTAAATAAAAAAACAATCATTATTTTGTTGGGAACTATCACAAGCTTTCAAAGAATAAATAGAAACCTTAATATGCACACAGTACTGACATGCATTTCTCGAAAAATAGAAGATTGAAAATCGATGTGACAATGAAATTTAAATCTTTAACGTAAAAATCAGATAGCAGAAGAGTCTCTCTGATACAACTTAAGTAACTTTTGATTATCGCTAGTTGGGAGTTAAGTTAATGGACATTTTATCAAATAAAATAATAAAAAATCTGATATTTATAATTATTTTCTAATAAATCATACTCCCAAAAAGAAATTTGCTCAAAAATAGCATGAAAATTAAAATGGCATCGTAATCTTCCCATTTAAATAAAAAAAAATTGGACAGTTAATATATTTTTATTAAAACAAAAAAAGAAACAATAAATTATTCTAAAGCGCGTGGTTTCTTTGGTCCAAAGCGATGAATTAAGAAATAAATGAAATTAACAACAATAATTCCAAATGCTATGGAAACAATCAATATCTTCATAATTTCAACAAAGAAAGAGCCTTTGTTTGCGTTTCCTTTTTCAATTTGGTAGTTTGTGAATGGTCTGTTCTCGATATATCCAAGATCACGGTTAGAATCAGCGAGATTGTTCAATTCTCCTGATCCAAATGTGCATCCTGACTTAGATATGTCTGAATCTTTGCTTTTAATCTCATTATTTTCTCTTCCTGTGAAACATGATTTTATAATCTTGAGAGAAATAGTTGCATCGGCTGCAATCGAAGGCAAACCTGCGTTCCTTATGAATGCGCAGTTTTCAATTGTCGATTCGGCAACATTTGACAGAAAAATCGAATTTCCGGCCAATTTGCCTTGAGCGGACTGAGAAATGGCGTAAAAATTTGTATACTGGAATTGAACAGCGAAATTCTGTTTGTTAAAGACAAAACCTCCGTTTGGCCCTGATGTGGAACATCTGACGAAAGAAGAGTAATAAACTTGAGCTTTTGAGGTGGTAACATCGCAAAGTCCTGTATTTGATGATCCTGCTTTCGTCATGTTTGTATTTTTAATTATTAAATTTCCATCGGAAATTATCTTCGCTATGCCATATTGTGGAGCAACAACAATTGTAAAAGTCGATAATTCGAGTTTTATGGGGATGTCGTTGGTATTTGATGCCAAAAATACGCCGCATTCTTCAAAAGCTTCGCAATTTTGAAATGTTGTATAAACGCATTCCAATTCATCACTACATGCAAATGCAGGTGCTAATTTGCCTTTAACCTTACTAAATAGCGCGTTAAATATTCTTAATCTGTATTTAACGTTAATTGCAGCTCCTGCTTTATCTCTTATATCAAACTCTCTGAAAATACTATTGTATACTCTAACTGGCTCATCTTTCAGATCCTGTCTTGTATACTCATAGACTTTTCCGATCATAAAAGCATCTTTATCGATTTTAATGGCACTTGATAAGTATTTTGCAAAATAGCAATTTCTGAATTCAGCATTTGGCTTTTGGTTGATTGAATAAAAAAATGGAGAAGTTGAAAATTTTGATCTTGTTAAAATCGATGAAAAAGATGATTTCAATGATGTGTGAGATAATGAAAGCATTGGTGAATTATTTATATTGTAGTTTTTAGAATATAGCTTAAAAATAGTTAAATTTGTAATCATCCAAATTTGAGTGTCACTTTTTCCGAAAAATCAATTATGTCAGCGTTCAGCTCTATATTTAAACAATTTAAATGAGGCCTCATTTAACTTTATTGGTTTAACTCCAAGATAAAACATATTTCTACCTATAGAGATTCATTTAACACATATTTATTTGGAAATTTTCAATTATTCTCCCCATTTTTGGTGTTTCCCTCTCATAACTTGATCCCATCAGATGTGTAAATTATCTTCTTAAAGACATCATTCTAAATTATCACTAAATATTTGAAAACTTTTTTTGGTAAATAATCGTATTTTTTGAGATATTCTCATAGACAAAAACTAGTATATTCATAATGCATGCAATAATCTAATAAAAAGCATCAAAATATCGGATTGATAGTAAAATGTATGCTAATTAACGAATATCTTATTGCTATCGACTTTACTTTAGTCATTGTATCATTTTATATTTATAAACTTTATCAAAATTCATAAATGATATACGAAATCTTTGTGGTCATTGTTTTCCATACGTATAACAAAAATTATCCTAATAAATTTCAAAGATATTTTAATTGGTAAAATGTAAATAAGCCACTTTTAAAATTTTTTCCATGTCTGATCGAGACATTCAGCCAAATAAATACAGTAAATTGCGAAGTATTTATAAATACTATATCGATTCGTACAATGCATTGTATCGGCTGAAAACGGATAACGAAGAAGATTTAAACAAGATTTACGAAATGATCAAAACAGAATTGATTGAATCAAATCAATATCCTCCACAAAATATACTTAAAGATATTTTAAATATCATCTCGTATAACAATCGCTATACAAAGTCATATTTATACCTTGCCAAACTTATTTCTGATGAATATCATATCATAGAGGTCAAAAGAATTCCAATCATTTCTAACTTCTTGTTTTATAAAGAATATGGAATTAAATTAGACAAGTCTGATGATTTCGAAAAAATTAAATCAGAAAATCTCAGTATTCATACATATAATACAATTTACAAAGCAATTATGAATAATGACTTAGAAAGATTTATCATATTCACGGAAAGAGGTGATTTTGATGAAGATCAAACACTTGTCAGTGATTTATATCCATTTGTTGAAAATGGATATTCATTACTTGAATTATGTTGTTATCATGGAGCAGTTGACTGTTTCAAGTTATTAAGATCGAAGTTTGACACGAAAATAACTCAAATTTGTCTTCAACTATCATTTTTAAGAGGAAATCCAGAAATCATGAGTGAATGTTTGAAACATCAAAGGCCAAATAAACTATGCATGAGATATGCAATTATTTCACACAACATTGATTTTGTTTCATTCTTGATGAATGAATACAGTATTCAAATCAATTTATCTGATTGCGGAATATATAATAATCTTGATTCATTTTTAGTTTGTTACGATCAAACTAATGATATAGGGTGTCCAAAGGTGCGTTTAGCACAGCGCTCTATATGAGACTATTAAAGGAGATATATGCTGATTAAATATATATAAAAAAATATGAATATATGTATATGATGAGTATGTTGTATTTTGGCGCCATGCCGGGATATAAAAAATTTTGAGACAAGAGGCGGTTTCGCGGGAAATTTTGGCGGGATTTTTTTTCATTTTTTTAATGAATCATAAAGAAAACATCCTCGCTCTTGCAAAAAAATGCAAAGACTGTAAAAAAATCTACGAGACATTGGTAAAATGCTTCGGTATGGATGCTCCTAGCTATTCCACTGTAACGTATCATGTTAGGATGTATCACTTCATGAACAAAAAGGCGCCCATCATAAAAATTGACAAAAAATCGCTGGATCAAAGAAAAATCAAAGCAATTCTTCAAGCGCTAGATGAAGACCCAAGAGCATCACTCAGAAGGATAGAGGAGATGACAAAGATACCACGTACAACAGTCAGTTATTATCTGCACAATTATTTGAACTACAAACTAGCGTATACACGTTGGGTTCCGCACAACCTTAATTCAGTTCAAAAAAAATCTAGAGTCCAATCTTCGAAAGAGCTCCTCTCTATATTGGGTGCGTATCAATCCAAGAAGTTTCACTTTTTAGTAACAGGGGACGAGTCTTGGTTTCAATATGCAACAGAAACCAAAATCATGTGGATCGCGAAGGATGAAAATCCGCAAACATTCCCGAAGGAAAAAATTGACACACCAATGATGATGTTGTCGGTTTTTTGGGGCGTGAATGGCATCATCGCAATTGATATTCTTCAAAAACCTAATACGATGAATGCTCAGTATCTAATTGACAATGTTCTTACTCAAATTATCAATTTTGATGAGTTTGAGAAATCCAAACAACAAAAACAAAAGTTTGCAATTCATTTTGATAATTCAAGAGTTCACAAAAGTCATAAGGTAATGAATTACTTGGTGGAAAACAATGTCAAAGTTGTTCCAAACCCAATTTATTCACCTGATATTGCACCCTCTGACTTTTATTTATTCGGCACGCTAAAAAAGAGAGCTGAAGGACGCGAATTCGCGAGTCCAGATGATCTTGAAAATTTTGTAAGAGAGCAATTTGAGCAATTTTCTCATGATGATTTAAAGCGTGTCTTTCAAGCCTGGATCGATCGCTGCGAACGCGTGATTGAATCCAATGGTGATTATATTTAAATAAACTTTATATATATGTAACTTGTTTATTTCTATTCGCAGTATTCAGGTTTGTGCTAAACACACCTTTGGACACCCTATATTAACAAATCATTTGTTTATTCAATGTTTTTTGATATTCCATCGCTTTGGGAATATCTCCTTCCACATGATGCAAATATCAAAGTAAAAGATATAAATGGAAGAACCGCTCTTCATTATGTAGCACTAAATAATAGTAAAGAAGCAGCAGAATTTCTTATTTCACATGGTGCAAATGTCAATGAAAAAGACAATATTGAGCAAACGGCTCTTCATATTGCAGCTTCTCATAATAGCAAAGAAACGGCCGAATTTCTTATTTCACATGGTGCAAATGTCAATGAAAAAGACAATAATGGACAAACAGCTCTTCATATTGCAGCTTCTCATAATAGCAAAGAAACGGCCGAATTTCTTATTTCACATGGTGCAAATGTCAATGAAAAAGACAATAATGGACAAACAGCTCTTCATATTGCAGCTTCTCATAATAGCAAAGAAACGGCCGAATTTCTTATTTCACATGGTGCAAATGTCAATGAAAAAGACAATAATGGACAAACAGCTCTTCATATTGCAGCTTCTCATAATAGCAAAGAAACGGCCGAATTTCTTATTTCACATGGTGCAAATGTCAATGAAAAAGACAATATTGAGCAAACGGCTCTTCATATTGCAGCTTCTCATAATAGCAAAGAAACGGCCGAATTTCTTATTTCACATGGTGCAAATGTCAATGAAAAAGACAATATTGAGCAAACGGCTCTTCATATTGCAGCTTCTCATAATAGCAAAGAAACGGCCGAATTTCTTATTTCACATGGTGCAAATGTCAATGAAAAAGACAATAATGGACAAACAGCTCTTCATATTGCAGCTTCTCATAATAGCAAAGAAACGGCCGAATTTCTTATTTCACATGGTGCAAATGTCAATGAAAAAGACAATAATGGACAAACAGCTCTTCATATTGCAGCTTCTCATAATAGCAAAGAAACGGCCGAATTTCTTATTTCACATGGTGCAAATGTCAATGAAAAAGACAATAATGGACAAACAGCTCTTCATATTGCAGCTTCTCATAATAGCAAAGAAACGGCCGAATTTCTTATTTCACATGGTGCAAATGTCAATGAAAAAGATGAAGGAAAAACTGCTCTTTAGTTGTCAATATATGGCAACTGTATAGATATAATTAGATCTATTGAAAGGTCAATTGAATAAATTTAGTAAAAGTAAATATATATATAATTTTGAGAGACATCACAGAAAAATATAATATGAATATACTTGATTAGCAGCTTAGAAAGTCATAAAAATGGCCAAATTCTCACTTGTTTGATGAATTAATCTCCTTCAAAACTAAAATAAAAAAAAAAAAAAAAAAAAAAAAAAAAAAAAAAAAAAAAAAAAAAAAGGTAGTGGGGCTTCCAGGCACTTCGTGCCCTCTAGCCCCGAAGATGTTTAGTATAAATGAAGTCTTGACAAAACATTTACGAAGAAATCTCAACAAAGTCTTTACGAAGAAATCTCAACAAAGTCTTTACGAAGAAATCTCAACAAAGTCTTTACGAAGAAGTCTTGACAAAGTCTTTACGAAGAAGTCTTGACAAAGTCTTTACGAAGAAATCTCAACAAAGTCTTTACGAAGAAGTCTTGACAAAATATTTACGATGAAATCTCAACAAAACATTTACGATGAAGTCTTGACAAAGTCTTTACGAAGAAGTCTTGACAAAGTCTTTACGAAGAAGTCTTGACAAAGTCTTTACGATGAAGTCTTGACAAAGTCTTTACGAAGAAATCTCAACAAAGTCTTTACGATGAAATCTCAACAAAACATAGACAAGAAAGTTCATGAGTGTAAATGACCCAAAAATATATTTTAGGGTAGAAGGGTATATCTACCCCGTTTTCTACCCTCTTTTCTACCCTCGTGAATTTTCATGAAATTTATACAGAATTCAATAAAAATATATTTAGGTGAAGAGGTGAGATTTCACCTGTTTTTTCACCTAATTTTTCACCCTCTTGAATTTTCATGAATTTTACACCAAAAATATACTACTAGGGTCATTTATGAAGAAATCTCAACAAAGTCTTTACGATGAAATCTTGACAAAACATAGACAAGAAAGTTCATGAGTGTAAATGACCCAAAAATATATTTTAGGGTAGAAGGGTATATCTACCCCGTTTTCTACCCTCTTTTCTACCCTCTTGAATTTTCATGAAATTTACACCAAAAATATACTACTAGGGTCATTTACGAAGAAATCTCAACAAAGTCTTTACGATGAAGTCTTGACAAAGTCTTTACGAAGAAGTCTCAACAAAGTCTTTACGAAGAAGTCTTAACAAAGTCTTTACGAAGAAGTCTTAACAAAGTCTTTACGAAGAAATTCATGAAAATTCAAGAGGGTAGAAAAGAGGGTAGAAAACGGGGTAGATATACCCTTCTACCCTAAAATATATTTTTGGGTCATTTACGAAGAAGTCTCAACAAAGTCTTTACGAAGAAGTCTCAACAAAGTCTTTACGAAGAAGTCTCAACAAAGTCTTTACGAAGAAGTCTTAACAAAGTCTTTACGAAGAAATTCATGAAAATTCAAGAGGGTAGAAAAGAGGGTAGAAAACGGGTAGATATACCCTTCTACCCTAAAATATATTTTTGGGTCATTTACGAAGAAGTCTCAACAAAGTCTTTACGAAGAAGTCTTTACAAAACATCTGTCAAAAGCCGCTTTTTAACTTCACTTAAAATGCCACGTAAGCTACGTAAGAATATACGTAAGAGGAAGAGAGCATTGAAACATCCAATAGTAAAACTGACACCACAACAACAGTTGCAACAACAAATGCTGAATGACCCCACTATGTTGCAACAAATGTCAAGCAATCCTATGCTTTTAAACCGAGTTTTGGTGCACAGAGTGGAGGTTTAAGAGCGGCACTTTTAGCGAAAATGGCAGGCTATGGTGGAGCTGCAGACGGAACAGCCTATAACCCTCAAAGTCAAATGAATTTGAGTTCACTCAAAAATCAAATAGCAGATGTCAAAAAGTCAAACATAGACATACAGAAACAAATAAGTGAAAACGAAAAGAAACTAGAATATGACAGACACACAAAGAAACTCAATGAGTTAAACGTAGAGAAAAAGAAGAAAGAAGAACAACTGAAAGAACTAAGTACAGAGGAATATGCGAAAAAAGTGTCAGAAAAAGCAGCAGAAGTAGCAAAAATGGAACAAGATGTTATAAATTTGAAAAACCATACTACTCAATATAAAGTACTGAAAGATGAAGAGATAAAACAAAAAGCCCTGAAGACATATATGGATAGCGATGAGTATAAAAAAGAAGTTGAAGCAAATGTAAAGGCAGAAAAACTTTTACAGTTGCAAAACCAAACCGTACAGTATGAAAACTTAGCACAAGAAAGTAAAAATAACGACGCAGCCATGCAAAAGGCAATGAAAAGCGCAGAATATATAAAAGCTAACAAGACTGGTTAGATGCCCAAGCTAACGCTAAAGCAGCCCAACTTATAGGGTCAATAAGGACAAAAATACAAGCGGATGAAGACAGTTCAAATGAAGCTTTAACAAATGCTGACTTTAAGAACGCCTTCGAAGCTCTTCATAGTAAGGTGAAACAAGTGAACGACTTCTCATCTGGAAAGAAACTGAAGTCTGAAGGTTTCGACAAAGAGTTAAAAGAAGTAGCACAAAATATGACGAAAATAACAGATGCAGCAACGAGACAGGCAGTTCAAAGTGCCTATGACGCCGTTAGAGCAACTGTTGTGAAAAGTCAAGAAAAAGAGTTACAACAGACCAAAACAGACCTAGTAAATGCTTTCTTAAAACGAAAAGTCAGGTAGGACATTACGCTGCAGATGGAACATATGTGCCAGCTGGTGGAACTTATATACCACCAAACCCTCCAAGAGAAGCACCTGCACCAGGACTACCTAAAACATTTACATCGTCACATGGACACAGACACAGGCATGCACAACAACCAGCACAACAACCACCTCCACAACCAGCACAACAACCAACACAACAACCAACACAGCAACCAACAGTTCAAAACCCTGCACAACAACAACCACAAACAGAGCAAGGACATAAAAGAAGTAGAGAACAAGGAAACCAAGAATTCTTAAAAATGCTTAAAGAAGAGTGTGGTTTCCCAGATACTGTTGACTTTAGTGACAGATATAAAGAAGCTATTGGAAAGTTCAAGGATGGAAATACTGACCCGAACCTATTTAGCTTTATGGCTCAGCACCAAAACGGATATAATCTCAAACCTGGAAAATACAAGCTCGCTAAGGGATATGATTTAATAGCATATCATCCAAATGACATGGATGAATTTACTCCGAGATATTTGATGTCAGAGCTAAATGACAATTCAACTTTCGTCATGAAACGCGTAAAAAATAGAGACGGAACGAAAGAACAAAAGCTTATGAATGCGGATGACGTAGATAGGGAAATTGTTGAAAACGGTCTCGGAATATATGAAATGCCAGCAGATGAGGTACAAGAAACTCCACAGGAAGAAGTTCAGATACAACCAGACATGGAAGAAATAGTTCAGCAACAACAGCTAGAAGAGCCTGAAGGAAACGAACAAGTCACTCCTTTGGAAACTAACTTCACAGAACTAGATGAAGATTTGGAACAGCCGAAAAATCTTGACCCTCAACAAGAGTATGCGGAGAATATGGAATATTTCCAAGAGTCTAAAAAAAATTCGGCTGACATAGTAGAAGAATATCGAAAAATGTTTGCCGACATACAAAAGACTCCAACACCAGATGAAAATATTCAGCATAGAATGGAAGTACTGAAAGAAAATGTACACAAATACAACAACCCTTTTTACTTACGAGCATTTAACGTTCAATCTTCGGATGAACTCGGTGAAAATAAAAGGTTAAATTTCAAGAAAACATATAGAAATGAAACATTGTTTAAAGTTCATTCAGAACCTAACCAAGATGGAAACAAACCTACTTTTGTTTCTGCAGACGATGGAACTACAATGAGATGGGGTCATAAAGCTAATCCAGATAGGTGGTTCATAAACTTACAACCACAATTCCAAGAAGTTGTAGACGCAATGGAAGTCAATGGTGAACCAGATATAGCTGGTATTTTAAGCGCGGCTTTAATGCCATTGAAAGATATGAAACATGCAGATATTTTGGACCAGTATGAAATGAACATGGCTGATGGAAATATAACACCTGACGTTCTAGAACATTTATCTCAAAGAACTACACAGAACCATAGAGATGGTATATTTGGTGAAGAGTTTAGAAAGAAAGTTAGGGAGGCGAAGGAAGAGAACCTATTGTACATGACCTTGCAAACGAAAGTTTACAAAATGTCATAAAAACTTACTTTGCAGACAATGAACCGAGAAGGGATGAATATTTAAGAAAACTCAAATGGACAGTACCAAATGAAATGTTAGTATTGAAAAACATGTTCCTTGACAAAATAAAACCAACTACAGAAATAAACGACGCAAGACTGAAAGATTGGGTAAAAGCTTTCCCATTCACAAAAGATATAGTTGGTAACATGGAAAGAAAACCAGAATGGCTACAAAAACATATATTTGGAAACGAGCTTATTCCATATGGACAGCTCTGTTTGAAGAGCTTGAACCAGAAACTCAGGAAAGAGTCATGCAAACAATACGAAAGACTCAAATACAGACTATGACAAACTCTTTCTAGGATATAGGTTACCTGAGATGGGCGACCAGAGCCAAAAGGCAAAAAGGACATGGGAAATTTGCAACATACTAGATGAACATAATGCAAAGATGCAACAACTTCAAGCAGAGGGCAATGAAGGAAAAAGAAGAGTTAAAAACTCAGTCAGGAAGAAAGTAAAGCTTGGTCCACGTGGGTTCTATTATGACATATAAATCCAACTATTCTATATTTTTACTCATATGAAATGTACGCCGCTCAGAATATAACGCCAACAGTTTTGGATGCTATGAATGGAAATGTTTCCGAATGGTATAACGAATGCGACAATGCCATTAGAAGGTCAGAAATAGTTCCTGGAACTTACGAATATACAACTGCTGTTTCTTATGGAAACGTAGGTGAGTTTGGAGAAGGTTCTT